AATTGATAAAATCGACAGGGAAGTCTTCCTGAGACTAATCAAGAACAAGAACAAGAACTTCAAGAACAAGAGATCATATATTTAAACTAGCTAAACACAGATGCCGAAGAAATATAAGAAAATTCACCTTCGCAAACAGAGTGGTAGACGGTTGGAACAAGTTAAGTGAGAAGGTGGTGGAGGCCAAGACCGTCAGTAGTTTCAAAGCGTTATATGACAAAGAGTGCTGGGAAGACTGGACACCACGAGCGTAGCTCTCATCCTGTAACTACACTTAGGTAATTACACCCAGGCAATTACACTCACCTTGCTGGTGAGCTTTTAACTTACCTCACACCAGAAAAAGGTGACACCCCTAGGGTCAACACTTGCAGCAGAGGAGCTCCAGCATATTTCAACAATCCTAAGTATTGTAGTACAGGTTGATGGTAGTGAGTGGTGTCCCAGAGAACATAAAGGTATAGTGCTCTTGAAAAATAGGTGAGATAACAGGAAAGTGCTAAGGGAAGTGAAAAATTGGATGAGAAAAAGTTGCCCTAGTGTTTACAGTGCAGAGAAGAACATTCAAGATGGCCGCCGGCAAGAGGAAAAACAAAACAGAGCTTGATTTTGAGGGATTCAATGATGAAAGCATTGATATTAGTAGTCTACATGACAAGTTGGTAAAATTAGATACTATAGTGAACTCTCATGTAGAAATAATTAGTAAATTGAAAGAAAGTAATGACCATTTGAATAGCAAAGTTTTATGTCTTGAGGGTTTAGTGAAAGACTTGTGCAAGGATAAGAATCAATTGGAAACAAATTGCAAAGCCATGGAAGAAGAAAATAAACTCTTAAAAATAGCTTTGGAAGAAGTTAAAGTAAATTTAAACATAAATGACTACAATAGGTTAGGCAAGGAAATTCAACAGGAGAAACAGCTTTTGTCAGCACAGATGGAGGAAGTTACACAGGGAATAGAACAGTGCAAGAAAGATATGCAACTCACTTATGCACAAGTGGCCAAGGAGAAGGAAAAAATTGAAGAAGCAGTAAAGGAAGTCAAACACTGCAGCAACCAAGATAAAACAAACATTAGGCTGGAAGTGAGAAAGGAATTGGCATCTAACCCGAAGTTGGTGCAAAACACAGTTGATCGGAGTAAGTCCCTGATCATTTTTGGTTGCAAAGAAAAGGAGATAACATCTAGGTCAGAAAGAGCTGTAGAAGAAGCGTAAGTAGTAGATAAAATTGTTGGCCTCGTGGAAGGTCTTACTACCATAGAGAATGTGTGCGACTACAGGAGAATAGGCAGGTACGTAAAAGGGAAAGATCGACCTTTGAGGATCACCCTAAACGGTGCCAAACAGATGGAAGAAGTACTAAGGAATGCTAGAAAATTACAAAGTGATGAGGATGGGAAAGTGTGGTCGTTAAGACGAGATCTTTCAAAAGAAGACAGAGAGAAGCTGAAACTGAACCTCGCCGAGGCAAAACATTTAAATGAGAGCAGGAATGAAGAAGAAATCAATTCTTTTTTCTACAAAGTGATAGGGGTAGGCAGACCAGTAAAGTGGTACATAAAGGCAAACCAACAAAATCAATAGAGAGAGGGGGAGTGAAGAATAAGGAGAGGGGGAACAAGTTCCTGAAGATTGCATACACCAACATAGATGGAGTGAGATCGAAGATACTGGAGTTAAGTGATGTAATACAGCTGCAGACACCAGACATTGTTGCACTCACGGAGACAAAACTTGAAGATGTAATTTTAAATGAGGTCATATTCCCAAGGGGCTACTCAATTTGGAGACGGGACAGAAAAATTAGGAAAGGCGGTGGCGTTGCTGTGCTGGTGAAAGAACACCTAAAGGTGAAGGAAATAATGACTGCCAATCCACAAGAAGTTGACATAATAGCACTAGAGATCTGCCATGAGGATGATAAACTAATGATCATAAATGCATATAGTCCACCGCCAAGCAGCACATGGTCAAAGGAGGAGCTAGATAGTAAACGTGAAGGTCTTATAACAATAATGAGAGAGATTATAGCGAGAGCGGATAACAATAGATCACGACTGTTGATAGTCGGTGACTTCAACTTGAAATCCATAGACTGGGAAGAATATGAAGCTAAAACAGAAGATTTTTGGACATGTAGATTTGTAGACCTCATCCTGGAAACATTCTTGTAACAACATGTTAAACAAGCTACGAGGATGAGGGAAGGGGACGTTCCCTCCATGCTAGATTTGATATTTACCAGGAAGGAGGAAGAGATATTTGACATTCAGTACCTTCCTCCCTTGGGTAAAAGTGACCATGTCTTTTTGGGAATAAAGTATGCAATGCGTTATAATCTGGAAGAAAATAAGGAGGTTGAAGCAGTTGAAAAACCAGACTTCAGGAGAGGACATTATGGTGACCTTAGAAATTTTTTTAGTGAGTATAATTGGACAGACTTGATGCTAGGCAAGGAAGTGAATGAGATGTATGTCAAGTTTTGTGAAATATATGATAAGGCACAAAAAAATTTATGCCAAAACAGACATGCAGAACTTGGAAACAGGATTGGTTCAATAGAAATTGCGAGAGGCCCAGAGACCAAAAGACACAAAAATGGAATCAATAGGGGAAGAGGCCAAACCCCCAAACATACCAGCGATGCAAAGACGCGAGAAACAAATACACGGCAGTGAGGAGAGAGGCAGAAAGAAATTTTGAAAAAGGGATTGCAGACAAATGTAAAACAGAACCAGGTCTATTCTATAAATTCATACACAACAAATTTCAGGTAAAGGATAATATTCAGAGGTTGAAAATGGGAAATAGAATCACGGAAAGTGAAAAGGAAATGTGTGAAACACTAAACGAAAAGTTCCAAAGTGTGTTTGTACAAAATGAAATCTTTAGGGAACCAGACACAATAAGAATTCCAGAGAACAACATAGAGCACATAGAGGTGTCTAGAGACGAAGTGGAAAAAATGCTCAAGGAGCTCGGTAAGAACAAAGCAGTTGGCCCAGATGGCGTTTCACCATGGGTTCTGAGAGAATGTGCATCTGAGCTCAGCATTCCACTTCACCTGATCTTTCAGGCATCCCTGTGTACAGGAATCGTAGCAGACGTGTGGAAACAGGCTAACATAGTTCCAATCTACAAAAGTGGCAGCAGGGAAGACCCCCTCAATTATAGACCTGTATCATTGACAAGTGTAATAGTGAAAGTATTGGAAAAACTAATCAAAACTAAATGGGTAGAACACCTGGAGAGAAATGATATAATATCAGACAGACAGTATGGTTTTCGATCTGGAAGATCCTGTGTATCGAATTTACTCAGTTTCTATGATCGAGCCACAGAGATATTACAGGAAAGAGATGGTTGGGTTGACTGCATCTATCTGGACCTAAAAAAGGCTTTCGACAGAGTTCCACATAAGAGGTTGTTCTGGAAACTGGAAAATATTGGAGGGGTGACAGGTAAGCTTCTATCATGGATGAAAAATTTTCTGACTGATAGAAAAATGAGGGCAGTAATCAGAGGCAATGTATCGGAATGGAGAAATGTCACAAGTGGAGTACCACAGGGTTCAGTTCTTGCACCAGTGATGTTTATTGTGTACATAAATGATCTACCAGTTGGTATACAGAATTATATGAACATGTTTGCTGATGATGCTAAGATAATAGGAAGGATAAGAAATTTAGATGATTGTCATGCCCTTCAAGAAGACCTGGACAAAATAAGTATATGGAGCACCACTTGGCAAATGGAATTTAATGTTAATAAATGTCATGTTATGGAATGTGGAATAGGAGAACATAGACCCCACACAACCTATATATTATGTGAGAAATCTTTAAAGAATTCTGATAAAGAAAGAGATCTAGGAGTGGTTCTAGATAGAAAACTATCACCTGAGGACCACATAAAGAATATTGTGCAAGGAGCCTATGCTATGCTTTCTAACTTCAGAATTGCATTTAAATACATGGATGGTGATATACTAAAGAAATTGTTCACGACTTTTGTTAGGCCAAAGCTAGAATATGCAGCTGTTGTGTGGTGCCCATATCTTAAGAAGCACATCAACAAACTGGAAAAGGTGCAAAGACATGCTACTAAGTGGCTCCCAGAACTGAAGGGTAAGAGCTACGAGGAGAGGTTAGAAGCATTAAATATGCCAAAACTAGAAGACAGAAGAAAAAGAGGTGATATGATCACTACATACAAAATAGTAACAGGAATTGATAAAATCGACAGGGAAGATTTCCTGAGACCTGGAACTTCAAGAACAAGAGGTCATAGATTTAAACTAGCTAAACACAGATGCCGAAGAAATATAAGAAAATTCACCTTCGCAAATAGAGTGGTAGACGGTTGGAACAAGTTAAGTGAGAAGGTGGTGGAGGCCAAGGCCGTCAGTAGTTTCAAAGCATTATATGACAGAGTGCTGGGAAGACGGGACACCACGAGCGTAGCTCTCATCCTGTAACTACACTTAGGTAATTACACTTAGGTAATTACAGTGTAGTTCAAGTGATACAGTACAGTATACATTTACTTCAGTAGTGTGATTCTAGTGGTCTGTACTTTATGTACAGACTGTAGTGTATAATGTACATTTGTTAGGAAAGTTACTGTTCTGTAATGAATTTATATTCAAATATCTGGCACTCTCAGGTTATTGAGGCTAAAAGTCTGCACTACACAACTCAACTGGTAAGGTAAGTACACTAAAACACAATAACAATTTATTGCTAGATTTAGAAACTAGATTTTAGATTTAGAAAGATTACTTAAGGTAATTACATAAGTTAGGTAAGCTTAAAAAAATTGGGGGGGGGCCCAGACGGATGGAACGAATCGCCTTCGCCCCATATAATTCGTTGAAGTGAGGACACACTATATTATAAACCATTTACAATGTTCAGTCACAAAAATGGGAGTATCTTATTTTCTTGTTCAGTAGTGATTTTTGTCCAGGGTGAATTATCAGTCCATTTCTTTCAGGTATTTTCTGCTGGGACAGGAGAGGTGCTGACATTCCACCAGGAAGAAGTGTCTCAGATTTACCCTAAGGAAGGATGGGTGGAGCAAGACCCCACTGCACTCCTCAAGTCTGTTTTAACATGTATTGAAAAAACAGTTGCGAACTTAAGGTATGTATGCATTATCTATAAGATTGAACGTAGCCATTTTAACCTTTACACCGTGCTTTTTAATCATGGTGCTTGTGCTGTATGTGACTATCATTTTAGTAATGTGTGCTAGACTTTTGAAACAGGAAGTTCAAAAGAAGAGAACAAAGAGGCCCGGTATGACTACTTTTCTGGGGAGGAGGGGGGGGTGGGATGGGGTCACCGGAGGCTCCCTGAAACCTGAAGCTATCTGGCTGATATTGCTTCCTGCTCAAAGGTCACATGAGTCATGGAGAATGTGTTTGGTCTGCTGGGGATCAGAGTCAGAAGCTGGCCCAACACAGAGGCACAGAAAGCAAGTGATAATTCATCACATCCACCGGGAATGCATCCAAAAAGTCAACAAAGCTTTGCAAAAAAAAAAAAAAAACAACAACAACAACTGAGAGTTTAGAGAAAATGAAGCCTCAAAATTCCCAGAAAACTCTGCAAACAATTCATGTAGAACAAGAAATTTGCTCAAAGTAGCTTGAAACTCATTAGTTCCATTAGCCATAACCAGGTGGTCCAGCCCCAGCCCACAGCCTGCTTCCCTGACCAGTCAGTTCTGTTGGTGATCTTATGGTGAAATGTTCTACCTGTAGTGCTATGATCGACTAGTCATGGGGAAACAAGCCCCTCTGCTTCAAGCTAAATGCAGGTTATCCTTGGACATTGGTCGTGTTGCACGGTCCATTTGCTTGTGTTTTTTATTTTATTTTAATATTTAATATTTTAATATTTAACCCTTAAACTGCGCATGGCGTATATATACGCCCTGAGTAACATGTCCCACGGTGCGCATGGCGTATATATACGCCACAGGGGGCCAGGCCCGATTCAAATGGCCCGCGGCTACACGGGCTTCACAGTAGCTTCCTCAGGGCTCTTGTAAACAGACGCCATTTCTAAAAAAAAAATCGTGGGCAATATTCTCAGGTGTGGGAGGCACAGTACTGTTGGAGCAACCAAGGCTGGCGCACGCAGCATGAGCGAACAGCATTGCTGTTCAGCTTGTGACCACAGCATCGCCGAAAAAAAAAAAATATATATATAATTGTTATTATTTAGCGATGACAATATTACAGATGACCCATGACTGATATAAATAACCAGGGTTGTGATAATAGCAGGATTGTTGTAATAATTAGCGCTGTGGGAGGAGTGATGCTGAGAGACGGAGGGAGACAGCATCGTTTACTGACTTTTTTTTTTTTTTTTTTTTTTTTTCTCCAGGGATATTCCTGCGCGGGCCCTAAGCCTCTGGCTGGCCCACTAAGTGTTGCTTGTTTGTTTTACTTGGGCGGAGTATGAGTATTTATTACTCGTATGGTCGCTTCAGTAAGATTTTGCCATATGTGTTTAACAACTTCTGCTCTGTTGAATCTAAGTTGAAATCTTAATGGGTTTGTAACTGTGCACTGTGTTAGATAATGTTCCAGTGGTCTGTCGGGCATTTCTCCAGTGTTGATTACAGTACTGACTGTGTGGCTACCTGTTATTGTTTACATTCACCATACCAGGTCAGTGGTTCTCTATGGTGAACACAAATGTAGATACTTATATATAATGTGTGTATTAGTGTAATAACAGCAAAAGGATTATGCTGGGAGGAGCCGTATGGGTGACGGAGGTGACGTCGTTTGCACGATTTGTCTAGCTGTCAGAGGGTGGCCACTATGCTCTTTGGGCGCATTACAAGCTTAGGTATACAGTTACGGTGCATAAAACATGTAGATACTTATATATAATATGTGTATATAGGGTAATAACACTGCAAACAGTATTGTTGGGGGAGAAAGTTTAGTGCGTGTGACCTTGAATGAGTGAGGGAGCCGCCAGCCGCCATCTGTGTATAGCGACGACTCTTAGTGCCTGAACTAACTATATCAGCTTAGCTGTACAGTTGTGGTGAACAAAATATATACATATATATAACGTTTGTATATAGTGTAATAACACCACAAATGGTATTGTTGGGGAAGAAAGTTTAGTGCGTGTGTTGAGGGAGTGGCAGCGAGTGGCTGGCTGGTGTGTGGCGGTAACTCCTCGTTGCTTTTCGACTCTCAATACCAACTTAGTGGTTCGTTATGGTGACCAAAACATGCAGATACTTATATATAACCTGTGTATAGAGTGTAATAGCAGCAAAACTATTTGTTTATTGTTTTATAAACATAATAATTGAATCACTAATTTGCACATCATACTTTTGAGTATAGCGATTATTCACCACTTTTATTATATAAATATATTACAATACACACTATTGAATAATATTACTGCAAAAAACTAAGAAAAAATCAATCGGAGACATTGAAACAATTAGGTAATAATATCTTTGTGGCAACTCCCACCTGTCAGCGCAGGTGACGCTGACCGGGTCTGACGACCGCTCTGTCAACGCCCACTTTTTGCCAGACTTCCTCGGTCAATTGCGCCCAAAATATGTCGCCTATGATTTTTTTATATTTTTCCCGTGCTCAGGGGACACAAGTTAACATGTTTAGAAGACGAAAAAAAAATTTTGAATTTTTTTTTTCTTGCGCACAGGGGTGTAAATGTCCCCAGGACCCCTGAGCAGTGTAAGGGTTAATAAAATAATATTAATAATAATATTTGTTATTATTAATATTTAATAATAATAATATATAATATTTATTTTTATCAATATTATTTAATATTAATATTTTAATAACTTTATTTTAATATTGGCTTCATGTGGTCTGAAGGGAGTGGCTTCTGTGGCCATGGCTTTTGTTGCACTTTGGGCTGCATGGGATCTGGGCTTTCTTCCCTGGATGCTTGCTAACAGTGCCCTGGCACAGTCACTTATCTTCTCTGGTGTATTCAGGAGTTTGTTTGCTGAGAGGCCAGGCTACCAGGGCTACCAGTGCCTGGCCTTGTTAGTTGTGGGACTTTAACTCCTCTGTTTGGGCCCCTTGGCTGGGGGGGCAATCTTTTGGCTGTGCTGAGGTGCACTTTGGTTCACAGCATGTTTACACTGTGTACTGTGTAAACACGGTACATTGCCGATTGTAGCCTGGTTGTTTTGGCCTTGTTTGGCGACTGTTCTTTGGGCAGAAGAACCAAGCAGAAACCCCTGATGCTGGGGGTTTCTGCTTAGTTAGCTGCCTTCAGGACATGGTTATTTCCTCGCCAGGGGTCTGATATGGTCCATTATGGATCAGCCCATCAAGTTCACACTCACCAAGTGTGAGCTTGAAGGAGTGTTCAAAGTCTTTGCTATTTAACCATGATCATTCTTTCTGCCTTCGCCATGCTGCCAGCTGGGTGGATGACACCTACGACCCTGAATGCTGTGAGGTTTGTTCTCACTGGATCCCATCTGTTAAATAATAAATAAATGTTTATTCAGGTAAGGCACATACATACGAGAGATTTAAAAAAAAATTGCTAGGTTTATAGATAGAGCTAGTACATACAATGCCTAAAGCCACTATTACGCAAAGCATTTCGGGCAGATGTTACTGATTCAGCTTCGAATTTGGAAATTTTCAGGTAGCTGCCTCTTTGCAAGCAGCTGGATTCCCTGGAGTTGGTCACTGGTAATTTAGGGACCTGGAATTTAAAGTGTTAGTGACGTCTACCTGATTAACTCTTTGCCTCCTGTTCCTTTCCTCTTTCCCTGTGGGTGTGGTTCGCCCAGCTTCTAGTCTTCCCCCTTCCTTCCTGGTTCTGGTTTCGAAGCATATGAGGGTTTCAGAGTTGGGTCAGGGTTTAGCTCAGGGTGTAATTTGGCCTTCTCTGGGGGTGATCCCATCCCATGGCAGAGACATGGAATAGGATGGGATGCTCCAAACCTTCGCCTTGAGGGGGATACCTTTCTGTTACCGGTGTTATGGCAATGTCCAAAACCTTCATGACAGACGTTTGAAGCTTAAAGGATAGCCCAAGGAGGACCCAAGGTGATCTTCATTCCTTCCTGGACATTGGTCTGTTCTGCAGTGTGTTTTTGCTTCATGGGGAGAATTATTTTTATTCCCCTTCTGTGTACTTTTGGTTACCTTTTAATGATTCTGAGGATCGACATTCCAGCAACTGTTTCTGACCCGACCTCTAGGTTGGTAGGTTGATCAACCAGGCTGTTCGATGTGGTTGCATGCAGCCTGATGAACGAGTCACAGCCTGTTTAATCAGGTATCCTTTGTACGAGTATGATTGCTTGGGTGCTTCTCATTGGGTTTATTTTTGGGTTCTGTTGGTATGTCCGAGTTGCCCTATTTCCAGAGGTTTCCGTCTTCCTGCAGTGCGCCTTTGGTAGTTTGTGTGGACTTGCCGCCTGTGGAACTCTGATTTAATTTTTTTTAATTGACCTGGGGTCCTTTGAATAGGAGTCTCTTTGATTATTGGCTGCGATGTGAAGTTTCAGGTTCATCCTGGCTGGCTGACAACCCCACTCTCTCTTCTTGGGGCTTGGCAAGGGTTCTGTTGGAACCACACGCTTGATTGGCAGGAGGCGAGTTCAGTTTCTCGGGTGTTCTTGGGGCAGCACTTCTTTTGCGCCATTCATGGACTTGCTTGTTTTGGCACTCCCGAAGGATGTGGGCATGTGTATATATTCTTGAGGGCGCTTATTGCAGAGGACCACAGGGGATGTATGCGCTTGGCAGCACTCTTGCATGTTTGGGTTTTTGTGGAGGGTCACTTTGAGGAACTTCATGAGTATGTGGTGTTGCTTAGTTCCACTCTGGGTGTGGAGGCTGTGAAATCTGTAGTTCCAAACTTGACAGCCTTGCTCAAGATTCATGACCTCCTTTGGGAGCCTGTGGTGTCATTTTACTTGACCCACCTGGCGTGTTGACAGGCCATGTTGGCCCCATTCGTTAGATAAGACTTGGTGTCTTATACTCTTATCCTCTTGCCCTTGTGTAACCTGCGTAATGAAATCCTCAGGAAAGAGAGGTACTCTTATCCTCTTCCCCTTATTACCTCTCTTTCCTGAGGATTTCATTACACAG